TCCACTATTGGGAGGTTTTACTGTATTAAGAAGAATTATTCTTTTTCACCTGTGCAAATTGGAAAACTTGTCCATTGTAGGTTGTCAAAATGGTAATATCATCTGCTTTATAGCCTTGCAAAATCAAATAGTTACAAAGTGAAAGCATAAACAATGACTCGTATACATTCTTTTTGGTAGTTTCATCTGAATCCTGAATTGAACGAATTTTACTTTGAAAATTTACCCGAAGAAAACGATTGATTGTGGAGATTGGAGAGTACTTACACCAGATTCAGAATTAGTATGGTCGATAAAATACAAATTTTTTGATACTCCAACCACATCTGGATACTGTTTCACACTATCATCGTCTGTTACCTCTTTATATATTGAAGTTCTTATTAAACTTGATATTTCCGGTCGCATTCGATATTGCGTTGTAAGAGTGACACAATGCATATCATTATTAATCATACGTTCAAACCTAAAGAAAATTATTGATTTTTAAATTATTGATTTCTAGATTTTCAATTTGGGCAGGTATATACAGTGAAATATCCATATTGAACTTCCGAGCTAGTTCGTATACACTTGTTATGGGTCTCAATTGCTGATGATCTCCTAAAAAATCAAAAATTATATCATAAATGAAAGTGTAGTTTGGCATTATTCACTGAAATGTACCAATTAAAATGAGTTGTTGAACATTTTTGGTCAACGCTGCAACAATATGACTTTCCAGCATTTCAGCTGCTTCTTCAAACACCACTAAGAATTGTAAATATAATAGTAACAAAGTATTCATTATTTCAATTATAATATCATTGTTTCATATTCGATAGAAATTGTCAAAAATATAATTCTGAATCTTAGAATTGATATCTGATACCGACAAATTTCACAACTTGGTTTGGTACGATTGCAAATAAAAGCGGAAATTGGAAAAAGAAAATCTGTATAAATTGCCATACAAAAAACGACACTTTAGCATTATGTCAAAGGATTGAATAGAGAAAAATATGTATGAAATATTAAATAATAATATGCGAAATATTCGTGGGATTTATTTTTTTTATTTACAGTCGTGGACAAAATTGAGTATACGATCCAACTATTGGGGTTTC